ACTTCAGTGAATCCAAGTTGAATGGAGAAAGATAAAGGCGTGATAAAAGATTGACACAGTGGAGGAGATTTCTGGGCTCCTTCTGTATCCTCTCTAAGAATTTTCTTTCTTTTGTCCTGTCCCCGTTTGAAAAGCGAGGCAGACCATTTCCAAATCAACTGGAGGCAGATATAGAAATCACTATGCAGATTCAAAAAGCCAGCTGCAAGGGTTTACCTCATTTCTTGTCATCTTTAATTACACAGTTTAGAGGAGGGATGTGTTGATCCTGAAGACCTAAGCATTTTCCTTAAAAATAGCCTTTCTGAGGGGTGTCCTGTTAACTATCCTAATTCCAGTCTTCTTCCTGTTCTCAGTCTTCTTCACCTTCCACCTTGCAGCCTGGTGGTTCTTATAGCCTGTGCCTGACTTATATTTTTCTTTGCCACTTAGACATTTTGTTTATGTGCTTTTGTTTTTATTCAAGATGTCTCTCTGTCTTTCCATTGTTTTTCATTTGTTTCTCCTGTAATATCCGTCCTCTACAAGAAATCTGTCTCACTCCTGCTGCATCATTATTTTCCTCTCCACGTAATTGTGCATCCATTTATTTATGTGTTCCTTTTTCTTATGTTGCTTGGTTGCCTTTGTTTTTTTCATTTTTCTTCCTTTCCTTTTCATTGGTATTAATCTTGACTTTTGGGTTAAAAGTCTTGCCAGATTTGGTAGTGAATGCCACAGTTCCTGCAACCAGATGCTTAAATGAATCACAGAATATCCCAGGTTGAAAGGGATCCAGAAGGATTGTCAATTCCAACCCCTGGCTCCGCGCAGCACCATCCAAATACTTACCTTATGTCTGAAAGCATTGCCTAAATGAGTCTGATATTTTTCTTTTAAGGAGATTCTTCTCTTAAGGACAGAGAAAGGCCTACTATTACTGTAGGTACAGTACCTCTTGAAGACTTGAAAGTCAGAAAGCAAATACAAATTCAACTTACTGAATGGGCAGTGCCCCTCTTTCCTGAGGGCACCCTGAGGTCTTCTGTTGTGGAAGAAGTAGGTTTGGTTTGCCCAGAAGCACAGAAGTAGGCTGTGGAATCTAAGTAGAATATTATTGTTCAACACAAAATCGCTTTCAAGCTTGTTACTATAGCATATATAGCAAATATAGCATATACACAGTTGTTGGAACATCAGTGCTGACAATCTTGATTCTGAAAGCAAGCAGTGCTTTCAGATCCATCAAGATGATCTGGGGATGTTGAAGGCAGGCCAGGAAGGTGCTCTGAGGCTCTTATGCTGCTTGTAGTGGAAACAACAGCCCAGTGGCTGTGGTGTCAAATCACAAACATCGACTCTAGTTTAGGATTTCTTTGGACAGTGGAGTGCAAATTGTTTTGTACATCCTGCATGTGTAGCCTCTATCAGTCCATTTCAACATGCCAAATCATCTACTTCAGCTTTAAAATGATGTCTTGAATGCAGGCTCCTTAGTATTGGCAGCAGTACATGATATGCTTGCTGTTTTGTTTTTAAATCTGTGGAGATCCTTAACTGTGATTTGCTCATCCTTGAAAGGCATGGCGATTACACTTGAGTGAAGCACGGGCTATTGATAAATTGTGTACAGTCTTTTTTTAAACAGCATTCTGAGACATTATGTGAAAGTAATTATTTTTCCCTGTATAAATGGCAGCCTGAAGCTTCTGCCTTGAGGGATGAGTCAGAGTACCTTAGTGCTTGATGGAAGCTTGGCCCAACTCCACTTGCTGGGCTTGGAAATATGAATAATTTTCAAACAGAAATTCTGAGAAATGATGAATGTTGCTCAGGGGTTTGTTGTTGTGCTGTTATTATTATTTCATGACACATATGGGGCTCTTTGAAAACTGTTTTCAGACATATAAGAAACCTTCTATTTGAGCCTCTTTGCTTATTGCAAAAAATGAGCAGTTTTGCTTTTCGCTGGTTTGTGAGTGAAAGATCATGTGATTTCCCAAACTGTAGCCTGTTTGTAAACTAAAGCTAACCTGATGGTTTAAGTTATGCTGTTTGCTAGTAATGAATGCACTACTGGAAAGCTGTCATGGGAAAATGCTATTGAGATGCATATATTTTGGTGTTGAGAATGGTGAAATTGCTGCACATCTTAGCAGCTAGCTGAATGGCTGTACAGGGTGGAGAAGGAAGGATGTAGGTAAAGAAGCAACAGCTGAAATGACTTTGTAAACCTTCCCTTAGTTACCAGATAAACATGTAAGGCTGCTTGCAGACAGAGACTGCAAACAGAGACAGTTTTATGACTTATAGGGATGTATTTTTATTCCTCCCAGTGCAAATTAGGAAAGTGTGACCCTTAGGCTATGTTTAGAAGTTCCTGTTTTTTTTTCAGTAATCTCAGCTGAAGAGAAGAAATTTCTGATCCCGGCTATTAGGAGTAAATTGGCTTGCGTGGACCACACAAAAGCAAATTCATGTCAATCTTGATAGATTCAAGGCAATGTGTGTTTATTGGGCAAGCACTGTTAGTATCTGTGTCTTCAGTAACTTTGGAAATTTCCAGAGGAATGTGCCCTTCAGTCATTGCAAACAGGGTGGGGAAATCTGCTCAGCTTATAGCTGGAATCAGGGCTCAGAGGGGTAGGGAAGGGAGTAGTGAGGTAAGTCCATGGTATTAAAATGGTGTATCAATCAGTAGTTTGCACCTGTCTCAAATACTGTCTGTAGTACATTTGAGCTGTTGTGAGACTTAAACTACTTGTTTCTCCCCTTTCCCTACCTGGAATATGGAATCCCATGGTAAAAAAACAATTCTGCTGTTTTTAAGTGCTGTTAGAAACAACTCTTTGGTGGTGTTACCCAGTTTGCACGTAATGAGAGTGAAAAATTCAGCTTAATATGTTACTTAGTTACAATAATAATAAATGTTGGCTCTGAAAGCAGTAGTTAATTTTGATAGAAATTTATAGGAAATAAGGCAAGTTTCTGAAGCTCAGGTGCGTTCATGAAAGTTTATCAAAGATGCTGTGAGATGAATTTCTTGCTATTCCTTTCTAAATACGATTTTTACACTGTTTCTTTTGGTCTGGGCTGATGGATTTGCTTTGTACTTCAGGATTTGGTTAAGACTTCAGTTCAAAGGCTCTTTGTAGAACAGCAGCATGGCTTTGAAGTGTAGCAATGGATGCTTTCTGTCTGTGTTACTGAGAGGATCTGGTGGTGTTGGACTCTTCCACCAGGCTACGGGAGATGCAACTTGACATGGTTTATCAGTGGTTACACGTTCTAGAGAACTGCTATGGCATTGCATGGTTAGTGGTTTAAAATTGCTATCTTTTCCCCCTGTTTGGACTATGTTTCTGAGAATTGCTCTTGTATTGCCTTGTATCGTGGATTCATGTTGTTTTGCTCAGCAGTCTTTTAGATTTCAGTGAATTAGCCCCCAATATTCATAACTCTGCTAGGTTAGTATCATAGGATACTAAAAAGTTTAGTGAATTTCCCCCAATTATAATTTAAAATAATAACACAAGTCTGACCATTTTGAAAGCCGAAAATGGCTCTTCTATGGATCTTGACATGAACGAACCAGAATCCCCAGTCCTTTTGACAAGAGGATGCAAAATGTATTTAAAAGCCGCCCTTTTAAGTCACTCTCTTGTGCTTCATTATGAAATCAGACACCAGTGTTCACCTTAGACTGGCGAGCCTTCAAAATGAAGGCAAACAGCTTTCCCTCTACAGGTTAGGTGTTTCCTATTCATTCAAGACGTGTTTAACCTTTAGTTTCAAAGGCAAGGTGACTAGTGCAATATGAAAAATTAATCTGTTTCTATGCGGGTGACTTCCCTAGCACTGTCAGTTTTGCATGCCATTCAGATTTTGTTTATTAAGCCAGCATGATCGTTCCTCAGTGCTAATATTATGCTAACCACTTGGCTGAGCTTCCTGAGCTCACCAGGCAATCTGATGAAAGCAATCCTTCTAGTCAGGGCTACAGATCGCAGGCTCTCCCTGGCCACTCCATTCAGGCCTTTGGTTCCCTGGGCGTGCTCAGCAGCCATCACCAAAGCAGACACTTCTGGCCAACACGTGCAGGCCTGAGTTCTGAATGGGTGGGGATGCAGAATCACGTCCCACGCTCCCAGGCTGAGCGCCATCAGGCCCAGCGCTGCAGACCACAGATGTAGCAGTGCAAATGCAACACTACCCAAAAAAGGACTAAAGAAGTGAAATTAAACGCCTGCATGTTTTGAAATTAAAGTTTGGGGTAGCTCCCCTTTGAAATGGAGATACTTCTGTGAAATATTTTCTTGATTATTGTTTTCCAACAGAAGATCATCCTGCCGGAATTATTTTGCACTGCTCTGGGAATGAATTATTAATATGAAATGGTAATTTTGCTGCTGAAATGGTACTTGGTGCAAAGTTTCTGTCCTGTTTTTTATACTCCATCAAGCCACTCGCAATTTTATACCAAACATTTGGACTTCGAGAAAATTGAGATTTTCAATCTGAAACAGTTGAGAAACTTAATTTTTCTTTATCATACATATTCAAAAGTGATGTTTTGGAGATGCAAAAATTGAGAAGGGGGACTTACAAAAATATTACAATAATATTGCTTCTTTAGTTTTCTTGAAGTTGGTGTTGTTGTTCAACTCTCTGATATACTGGTAGTATCAAATGAAGCAGTGGCTTTTTCCTTGTTGCAAATTAATGATATTTTTCTCTCTTGAAATAATTATTTGTGTCTACTTAATTGAAGCCAACACGTTTGCATGTTCCCTTCATGGCTGAGCATCATTCATACAATTTAAATAATGAAGCCAAGCATTAAAGACAGATCATAAAAGGGAGAATTATGATCAAATAAAGAGTGCAGAATCTTTTTGTTGTTAAGTCTGTGATGCATGTATAACGCCAGTATTACTGAAATGTGTGATAGAAGCAAGGCAAAGAGCCATGTTTTTTGCCCACTGACTTAATCTGAGAGCTATTTTTTTTTTTCCTTACAGATAAATCGGAGCATTTACACTGCACAGAAATGGAGGTAAGAAAAGTATTTGTGTTCTCCAATGGTGCTGATTTAGCTCAGAGCTTTTTCATTATCATATACTGTAAATGTGGAATGCTTTGAATGGGAAGTTTTACTGTGAAATGTGTATGGTATTTATTACTTATTAACAGGTGCAGAAATCTATCTTAATGTAAGATATTGGGTCTCATGCTCAGATACAGAGGAAAGAAAGTCCATGTAGTTTTCAATAAACAGGGCTGGAGATACAATGCAAACTTGTTCGTTGTCATTTCTTCTAAATATGAATCTTCAGCACAATATTTTGTTTTAGATAATTTCTCTTGGATAAATTCTCTTGATGTAGTTACATTAGAAACAACTGGTAGATTGTGGAATAAATAGTAAGTATTTATGGAATAGGCTGATGTTATTTGACAACCCAAGAATGTGGATAGAAGCAGAGAAGACAAGTGATCTCCGGATTGTTTGTCCACCTAAAGTTGTCCTGATTTCCTGTGCTTTTAATACTTCTTTTCATTTAGAATTGGCAATATGGGGCCTAAGAAATACTGTATGATGTCTTGGTGGGCTAGCAATAGAAAGACAAAACCAGTTAAAACTGTTTGCTTTGTATCTTGACCATTATTTGACACTGCATCTTTGATACTAAGCTGTGATGAGGGTTAAAAGAATGTTCAAGCTATCATTATGTCAGATTCATAGATTTAATCCAAAGCTTGAATGAAAACTAAGCAGACCTTCTAGTTGAACAGGATGTCAACTCATAGTTGCTTCTTGTGATACAGAGTAAGTCATATAGTCTACTCCTTAAATGAAGTTTTCCAGCAGTTAGCACAGCTGTCTGTATCCTTTGCAGGGCAGTCTGTTCTCATTGCCTTTGAACTTTCTTTCAAGTGTAAAACTGAGTTTTTACTTCAGCTGTTCAATCAGTACCTCAGGCTTAGCCTGGAGATAGTGTCAGTGCAGGCATCCTAATTGGTGGGCTCTCTGCTTTCTCATCAATAATATATGTGAAGGTGACAAATGGCTGTTGCCATAAGGTTTATATTTAGATAAAACTGTGTGTGGAAATGGCTGGTTTAAAGGTAAAATGAAAAGCCAGCTAATTCAACACACATGGGAAATTGCCAAAGCCATCCAGATTCTTGCAAGCATTTGTAACAAAATGGGAAGGTTCTTTCTGCAGGATACAAGGTAATTCCTGACAGAAACAAGTACAGACATTGAAAGTCAACATGTTTCTGTTTACATAGTCCAAATTAAGCAAATTAAGCATTCTGTTCTTATTCCAGAATTTGCAGAAACTTGGTTCATGAGTCTAGTACCTCTCTTAGAAATGATGATCTATTGTGTCACTTGCTTTGCATACTAAATACTGTTTACAAATTTGCTTTTTTAACAGAAGATAATGAAAGACCCTAATGGTAAAAATGGAGATGATGATAATAAACCTCTGTTGAAATATTTGTAAGGGAACATAAAAAATCTATTTTGAAAAAACAAAAATGCTTTTGTTTCACAAGAGATTGTTGAGACTCAGTTGGATATATTCTGCTTCTTTATCTTCCATGGAGAAAGAGCTTTTGAATTTTAGTATTTTTTAAAAATTACTTTTGTCAATGGTTAGAAAGGAAAAATTTCAGCGAGTCAGAATTTGCCTTGGGACAAAGCATCACTTTAAATTGTCTCTAATGATCACTTTGACCATGATCATATTGACTCTTCTGTTTGTCATCTTGAAGGAGACAGCAAAGGAGTCAGTGGCTCCTTCCTCCTCCAAAGTCCCTGAGGGGCTGCAGCTTTAGACTTGGTGAGGATGATGTTGGTGTTTTTCAGAACCAGGAATTCAGCAGAGAGAGCATATTGCACTTTTTAGATTCCTGTGGCCTAATTGAATATATTAGAGTTAGTGGAAAACGTCTTAAAAATGTAGCTAATAATAATCATAACTTTTTTTTTGCAGAACATGTAAACTATCCTGATTCGATACTCCTTTTATTTCAAGCTTTGTGTTAAATTCAGGGTCCAGTTGCCATAGCCATAGTGGGAAGTAAGGAATCAGGTGACCTCATTTAATGTGTGTCTGCCTGTGACTCTGTATGTGATGATAGCTCTACTTTGTTGTCTCAAACAAGGTGGTGATGATTATATAAAATATGCCAGCCTCATTTGTAAACATGCAGTGCTCATATAGAAAACATTCTGTGAATGTGAGTGAGTCATATGTAGGAGAGGTTAATTGCCAGGTATTGGAGAAGACCCACCTAATATCATAGGCTTGTTGTGTGAATTAAGTGGTGTGTATGCTGGTATGAAAATACATGCAAACTCTCTCATTTGTTTAAAAGTCAGGAATTAATGAAATAACCTGTCCCAAACAATGGTGAATAAACTACTTGTTCAGCATCATCCAGCTCATGTCAAATCACAAAGTGAATCAATTGTCACAATGTTTTGAGGAGCCTTTTGTGTGCTGTGTCTGCAAGCTGTTGGTTATATGTGTTTCGTATAATTATTACAGTCCTAACGTGCATTGAAAATTATGTTTACTTCAATACAAATAAATACTTGTTATTTATTGTGTTGAGTCAAACAGATCAGCCACCTCTCTCATGCTAATGGAGATGAGACCTTGCACTTAATAGCACAGACTGGTAGGATTTGAAAAGCTGTGCAATAATTTTGCATTAAAAGCAATGTCATGCCTACATTCAAGTGTGTTATATGCTCAAAATTCAACCAGTATTAAATGGGTTTATTTAATGTACACAGCTAGGATATATTTTTTTAATCTCTGGGTGTACAGTAGAGTTGCATCCTGATGGAGGGGCAGTTGCAGCAGTGAAGAATCACTGGTACGTACATGCAGTGGTGGTAATTAGTTCTACTTCCTGAGCTCGTCCTTATGGTGACAAAGGAAATGTCATTGTGAGGACAGGCAGAAATGTTTTTATGAGAGTAATTTCCCTCAGTAAAAATGTGACTGACTGTTGTTGGCAAAACTCCCTGTGAATGACTGGGTACAAGTCTGGTAATTCCATGAAAGCTCGTGGATTATTGTGCTGTTAAGAGGAGAATTAACAGGGATTCAGGGTGGCCTCTTGGAAATCAAAGCAGAGTCATGAATCTTTTCTGGAGAGCATTAAGCTGTGCTGGAACATTAGGTGCTGGTGGTCATGAGTGAAGTGCTCATACACCTGTTAATGGCATTACCTCAGGAGATGCTGTGTGTCCAGCCTGAGAGGGACCTGGTGCTTTAGATACCTGAGAGCCCATTATGATGCTCCTTGATGTGGCTGCTCTGTGGCAGGCACTCATCTGTCCCCATGATTTGCCTGAATCACTACAATAGTCACAACAAAACAAGACACTTGATTATATAGGAAACACAAGCACAGAGGTAGAATTTAGGTTTTGGTCTTCTGTGTTTTGTAATGAGCTGCTTTTTCAAGAGGAGCACAGTCTTTTGTGTCTCATATAAATATCAGGAGAGGGTTGATCTTGAAGGAAAGTGGATTTCTGTTGTTTACTTGCTTTAAGCTTGGCACATCGCCCTTTTCATTCAACGATTTCATTAAGAATACACAGTGAATTATTGGGCTGGAGAACTAATAATGTATTTGACTAAGCTGATTTAGTGATAGTCCAATCATGCCATCTGTCCAGGGTCCCTGGAAGAGAAATCAACTGCTCCTTGTAAAGGCTTTTTGATTTTGCAGCATGATATGATGTGCCTTTAATAATCTGTGCACCCCAAAGTCTGATGGGATTTGTGAGGAAACCTTTGTATCAGCTGGGTGAGAGCGGAAAGACAAAAATTCAGCCCTAGTTTGCTGGAATAGCTGGAGGAAAAATAGGTCTCGCAGTAAATTTGATCACTCCGAGAGAAGTTTTGCCTGTGAAAAGCAGAAATAGCTGAACATGGAGCAGTAAGTTAGGTGTTATGGTGCTTCTGTTAAATCTCAAATCACAAAAATGTTCCTTCTGTAGTTAATACGCGAGGCCATTCACATTACCCGGTTGTATCACAATTGAAATATGGGAATCAAAGCTCACCAATTTAGTTTATGTTACTCTGAAAGGGATCTCGGTGTGAGGAGAATAAGGTTATTTGTATTGGTCCTCAGTTTCTGCAGACCCCTTTTTCTTTCAGCTCTATTGTTCTACCATTTGATATCTATCATATTAATGATATGCTGTCCTATCTATAGTTGCTGCCATGTATATTGATTGATGTGACAGCTATCATGTTAATCAGCTTTCAAGGTGCCATTCTTTTGTGCCAGTGGACATGTTTGCCTCCTTGTACAGACCAAAAGAATAATGTGATTACTTGGTCAAGCTGCAGGGAAAGCTTAAGCTTTAGGTGTTGGTTGTGTGCCTGCAATTGAGTAGTCTCTTGCATTGTCCTTTCGTTTCATTGTAATAAAACTTTAGTTTATAATTTTGAAATTAAAAATGCAAATTTTCAGAAATTTCATTTTTGATTGTTAGTACAAAAAAAAAATAAAAATTAAGCAACAAAAATTCTGAGTACATTCCTTGTCTACTAAATCCTTCAAAGGTTTCTGAAATAATATAGTGCTGGTTTCTAAGAGTGTGCTAGTTATGAGTTTTCTGATAGAGAGGCTGTGTTTTCAGAATGTGTCAATTCTGATATGTATTAGGTTGATGAAGCAAGCGAGTTGTGCTGGCTGCAGATTTGGCAGTACCACAGTTTTAAAGATGGTTAATATACTAAATGTTCTGCCTGTTCTGTTAATATACTAAACGTTCTGGTTACTATAGAAAATAAAAAAATGATTGATCTTAACAGATGGATTTCAGAGCACTGGGGCAAGGTCCAAATAAAGTTATTTAATAATAAAAAAGTAATCCTAACAAAGGGTGAAATTTCTGAGCTTGAATAGAAGCCAAATAATAATTCTAAGTGTAATTTAATGGAGGCTGCTCTTATCCTTTCTTTTCTGTGTGGATTTGGCCTACGGCAATTCTGAAACTAAATAAAATAC